CACCTGTTACTGCTTCTACTAGACCTTCAGTACGTTCTCGTCATGCGTCCATCCGAACACACACACACGCACACACACACACACACAAACACACATACACGCTGTAAGGAGAATCACCTGTTACTGCTCCTACTAGACCTTCAGTACGTTCTCGTCATGCGTCCATTCTAACACACACACACACACAAACACAAACACATATACGCATGCACTCACGTTCACACACGCTGTAAGGAGAATCACCTGTTACTGTTAGACCCTCTCTGGCACCACGATGTCTCTCAACCAGTCGGACAGACCACCTCTTCACTAATTACCCCTCGTCCGTGCCGGCAATTAAGATATACTGGCCGCCGCCCGAGATTACGAGACTGTGAGGGTGAGGGGGGTATCGTGAGCGAAGATTTACAAACGTAAACATCTTTTTCTGACCGATGGACGACAACTCCGCCATAAACAGAGCGACTGTGTACTAGAGTTATCGGTCATGGGGTTAGGTCAGCACTCTAACATATTTTTTCCACCCTCTATTTAAAACACAGCAGCACAAAGCGGGGTTTTAGTTTTATTTATTGTTTACTGAGTGATGTTTACAAACTCTCTAAATATCTGACACCAACAGCTTGGTTCTCGCCATGTCTAATGTTACCCGTTGTTTCCTTCAGGCAATATGTGTGTGTTAAGCCTTAGCCAAAATATAAACAACACATCCGTTAAAACTTTAGTTTAGGTAATACTATTACCTTATTATTATTATTTACTTATTATTTATTTTCTATTATTCATTCAGACAACATTTAATTAAAATATATATTTTTTTTAACTTTGTAAATATAAAAATATATATTATACAAGTCAAATAAGCTACACATCAGCAGTGGCGGAACTAGAAAAAAAAGGCTCCCCCGCAAATAAAAATTTTGGGCCCCCCTATATGTATATATATATATATATATATATATATATATATATATATATATATATATATATATATATATATATATATAAGTAGCGTGCTTCTCTAATTTTTAAATAGTCTATTTTAATCTATTTCATTGCAATGTATAACCACTCTGAGATAACGAACCAGAGAACAATAAGTCCGAACTCATTTCGGGCCCGCAATAATCCCTGTTTTACAAGTGTTGTTTTTTTTTTTCTTTTTTTTTTTTTTTTTGCCTCAGACACGTAACTCTGGTTTCTCTTCACATCGAGTAAATCTTTCGCCTTTTACAAGTGTTTTTTTTTTTTTTTTTTTTTTTTTTGTGAGATCATTTAATCAAGTCTTTTCAGTAAAAGGTACTTTCCTTTTTGTTTCTTTGCCCTCTAAGTTTTTATTGCATGATCCAGGTACCCTTCAGAACTGGGTGGGCTAAGGGGTGTTATACTGAAACCACTAAACTTGTGCCATTGTGTAATGTTTCGTGCTTCATTGTGCATACATCCTTAACAAGAGTCTATAATTCTGCATTTTGGATAGCCATAGCACATTTCTAAACATTTCCCAATGTTTATGTAAATACTAGGCATACTGCCTAGCTTCGCTTAGGTTTTTAAAAAACATTTGAGAATTTGAATACTTAATTATTTAGCGATGGATTATGTGTGGAGTGCTTTAATTTAAACAGTAATGCTTTTATTTTCTACAAGTGTTTTTATTACACTAGATAAATGGCCCGTTGAGGAAGGGTACAACGGGCGCTAGGCTGATAGTGCTGTCTCTTTTCTCTAAACTAAAACCATCCCACCCCCCCCCCACACACACACCCCCACCCCCACCCCCACACACACCACCCCCACCCCCCACCCCCCCACACACCTCCACCCCCCACACACCACCCACCCCCACCCCCACACACACCACCCCCCACCCCCCACACACCACCCCCCACCCACCCCCACCCACCCACCCCCACCCCCCAAAAAAAACATGTCTACCGTCCCATTCAACGAAATATAATTATATACTTTTTCCAGTGTCCGCCCCCTTCCCGAAAATTCTACCCCCGCCCCCGAAAACCTCAAGTACCCCCACCCCTCTCCGGGGAGGAAAAAGTCTGAAAGAAACACTGGTGTCGCGCTTAGCCACTACGCGAAGAATTGCATTAAAGAAATTGCGAGAAAACCACTTTTTAGATTAGACACATTAATTAGGTGGTAATTTTATTATAGAGTAATATCGATGAGGAAACCACCCCACCCCACCCCCCCCCCCACACACACACCTCCACACACCACCCCCCCCCCCACCACCCCCACCCCCACACACCACCCCCCCACCCCACCCCCACCCCCCCACACACACCTCCACACACCACCCCCCCCCCACCACCCCCACCCCCCACACACCACCCCCCCCCCCACACACCCCCCCCCACACCCCCCCGCCACCCCCCACCCCCCACTCTCAAAAAAATCATGTCTACCGTCCCATTCAACGAAATATAATTATATACTTTTTCCAGTGTCCGCCCCCCTTCCCGAAAATTCTACCCCCGTCCCCGAAAATTTCAATTACCCCCACCCCTCTCCGGGGAGGAAAAAGTCTGAAAGAAACACTGGTGTCGCGCTTAGCCACTACCCGAAGAATTGCATTAAAGAAATTGCAAGAAAACCACTTTTTAGATTAGACACATTAATTAGGCGGTAATTTTATTATAGAGTATCGATGAAGAAATTTCTTTTGAGCTGGGGAGGGAGGTGGGGGGGGGGGGGCTCAGACGTTCTTACGCGTGGGGTGGGGCTTCGCCCCTACCCGAAGAATTGTATGCAAGAAACTCTTCACGCAAACCATTAAGATTAGACAACATTTCCTTTTTATTCAATGTAAACGCGAAAATCAATGACGTCATATAACTGTGAGCACTCTCTGGGTTTGAGATTATTTTCAACTCTGTGCTAAATGTGTCGACGTCATACTTCGTTTTTCGAAATACTATGCATGTTTTTATTTTCCTTGTGTTTTCTCTAGAGCGTTCTTGTCAGATAGATAGATAGACAGACAGCGAAACTATTAGTATTAATTTTTATGTTTACCCGCATATTGATAATTTTCGAGCTGGTCAAATTTATATAAATACGTAAGCTTGATTTGTGCAATGGTTTCTCGCGTTATGTTTAATTTTATGATTTTTTGTATTTATATTATTCGTTTTGAATACAATCATTTTTATACCTTTAGGATTCTTTAGTATCCGTTATTTAGATAATAATTAAGAGAATAAATTGCTTTTTAACTTACACAGTATAAAACTATTTAAATGAGCTTCATGGGCACCCTTATTTTAAAGAAGGGCAGTAAGTCATGTAAGTAGTGTGAACGTTTGCCTATCTTTCAAAGCAGAGCTCTTATAGATTTTATATTTTTCTACACAACAGTGTGTGTTGGTTACTGTAGAACAATCACTGCTATAGTAGACCTGTTTGTTTTTTACAAAACCACTATCAAGGTGCGCGAAAAATATTATTTATAAAAAGAAAATTCATTGTTTTTTTTTGGTCGGAATTGGGCCCCTAAACGTCGTGGGCCCCCCCGCATTGCGGGGTCTGGCGGCACTGTAGTTCCGCCCCTGCACATCAGTAAAATCTTTAGATTCGGTTTAACCAAAGATATATACAGACGTCTATGCACATGAATACAATAAATAAATATATATAGGCCTATATGACCTTATTTATGTGCCGCCCGGTGTTATTATTCATTCAGACAACATCTAATTAAAACCTGCTGAGCCGCTAATGGTTTCCTCATTGTTAAAGATGTTAACGATTCTTAAGCTGGAAACCCCTGGTTATCTCCCTTCATCTCACTGCGCTTCTGCTATCATTCTGCACCACGCTTGTCTCCCTTGGTTTGTTGGGGATTTTTTTTTTTTAAATTCCTCCTCCCTACTTCTTCTTCTTCTTCTTTCTCTCGCTCTCCTTCCCTACCCACCCCCATCCTCACTCCCCCTCCCCCACCCTCACCCCCTTCCCTTTAGTCCCCTCTTTGTACTGGTGTGCAGTGAACGATGCTCTCATTTCTCCGTACCTTCCTACTTCACCATCTAGGCGTTGCTAGTGAATCTAAAAATACCCACACATTATCTAGTACTCGACCCGCATATCAATATTCTAAACTAACCTTTCGGAATTTTATATGCAAATGCTAACCTTTTTCAAATATGAGTATTCCATCCTTTATTAATACCATTAAAACAACGTATAATTTTAAGAGTGAGTTTATATTTAGAATAATATATTATTTTATTATACTCCTGTCTGCTGTTGACAAAAACTTCAGAAATTTAGTTACATTCAGTGTACATATTTACTTTACGTAAGCATATTTTTAATAGGAGTCGATCATTATTCAGGGGAAATAACTGTCATCGTGATGTGGTGATTATACTCAATCAGAGCTGTTCTGTATGGTTGTCGCAATAATGAGCTATGTATTTGCCATCACAAAGAATGTATATTAGCCATGTCAAGAAATGTTTTAAAAAGCAGTGCTTCAACGTGTTTTATTTTAGAACATGTACCTCACCTAGGCTGTAGAATTATTAGTGGAAGAAGTAGTACTACTACAGTACTACTTGTAGTACCACTAGTAATTAGTCAGTCGCACCACAAGTGCATAAAGCCTACCAGACAAGAGGACTGATTTTTCCAGCTGATCCCTTTGGTACCTGTACTACTACTTTCTTGTTGCTCTCCCCGATTAGCATCTCTGTTTTTCCTCGCCTGCCAGTTTTCCTTTGCCCAGGGTGGGGAGGGTTTACGGATGAGAAACTGTCTTTCTACGCTGGACGTCGGATATACACTCTAATACATACACCCTTATATCCATCTTTATTCATCTTAATAAATACACACTTGTAAACCTCACTGCACTCAAATAAATACTCCCTAATATATACACAACCTTATAAACCCCAATACACCGTTACGCTGCTTACGCACCAAAATAAATACTATACCACATACCCTAATATGCTCTATGTTCTAACTTTCCACAGATCTGCCTTGACCAAGCTCCTGTGTGGCCTCTACGCCCTCTTACTTGTAGTATTTGGCATCGTTTTCTCTGTAGCTAATGCCCTGACAGTCAAAGAGAGACAGCACCTTTACTACTTAGAGGTAGGTTTTTAAAGACATTTTTTTAACACCAGAGTTCCCAAATTTTAATTAATATTTATAGAAATTAGTGTATTTGTTAAATAATGTAGTTTATTAAGTTCTGTAACGTTTTATGAGTGTAGTATATTGAGAAATATTGATGTTATATGTGGCTTGTATATGTGATATTTTGAAATGTGCTGTACCTGATGTATCATGTATATTTTTTTTAAAAATGGTTCAGAGATCGTCATAAATAACATGACGTCACTTACGGACGACCCCTCTCTAAAAACAAAATTTAGGAGACTTTTTATACACTATTAGTATTTAACCAATAGCCAACTCGCCTACGGGTAAATATACTAGTTCAAGTACTCCCATATCCCAGGCACGACATCATCCAGCGCGGTAGATAAACCCATGTATGTTTACTGATCAATACAAGTGATTAGATTGCTACGCTCGGTTAACACGCACCAGCCCCTACAATTTACCTTATTATCTGGGAGGGGGGGGGTGTCTTGTCTTCCTATCATCGAGCCTGTTCAGCTGAGTTATTCTATGAGATAGTCCAGAATATCCCGTCTTCCGTATCTTGTTTGTTTATGCTGTGTGAGTTCAAGTTGAAGCGGTGTCCGTGTAGTGAGTAATTCGAAAATAGAAACCATTTTCGTGCAAATAATGAACATGTGTTTAAAATACGCACATTTTTGTGTTATCGCAAGAATATATTTTTATTGAAAAGGACATATTCACTATATTGCGAAATATATCTTATTAAATAAAAAAAATTACATTGAAGCCTTTGAATATATTAAAGTGTAAGGACGTAGTTAAATTAATTTTTAAACCCAATATTTATGAATATGATTATCATGCTTACCTAATTCGTGTTTTATTTTTGGCGTCAATACAAAATTATTTGCATACTGTTGATGTCGATGAAGTATTTGTTTCTAGGCTTTATTACCATATGCTACCCAGGTGTTCCTTATTTACCTGTACCTGGGATCACTCGGTGTTCTGCTTTACTTCCAAATCTGCATCCTGAGAGGAGTTCGAGTCCGGAACAACTACTTTGACAACAATATCCGTGTCGTCATTCGGCGAGATCAGGTGAGTTTTGTTATTTACACCAAAGTTTCCGGCACTTGACCGGTTTTTCTGCATTTGTAGATTTATTTTTATTTTTAGGTTTTTCTCTATCCTATGGTTAAGAAGTTACGTGCATTATTTTGACCCTTGAGGGGTTGTGCTCACACACTGTAACACATGTTTTACCCATTCCCTACACTTAGCCTACACAATTCAACAGTATATAGATATAATATCTTATTTTAAATATAATATTTGCTTACAATTAAAACTGTCTTCCTATCTGGCTGACAGAAGGGATGTTCGTAACAGATCTAACTCTAGCTTTAGATCTGGATCTGGGCTTGTTGAGTTAGTTAAATAGTATACATTACTTACCATATTAATTTAGACTGTACAAATGAAACGTATGTAGTCAAATAGATCTATACTGTACGGTAGTATAAATATACATTAGATCTGTGATTAATTGGGGACTAATTAGAACATAAATAATAAATATTATTTATATTTGATTTTGCTAACAAACCTTGGGAATTCCTGCTTTGTTGCAGGATAATCTGCAACTGACCCCATCTCCCACAAGAAAGCAAGACAATGAACACCAGCACATCATTGTTGATGGAGAGGAGACATTTGACTCCAGGAAGGAGCCTATGGACCAGATGTCTACTCTATCCACTAGGTCAGTCACCTTTCATATTTGATTTTACTTTTTTACCTTGATTATTTTTTCTGTTGTTTTCTTAAGCTTTTTAATACAAAAAAAATTATAAACTTTAAGTTTTTTTTTTAAAAAAGCTTATAAAATGTTTTTAAAATAAATAAAACGGCTTTCATAAACAAATAATATTTTGCCATTTGTTTACTCAAAACTCATGTATTTATATTTTTTCTTAAACTTTGTTTAATAATAATAATATAAAATTTCTCCTTTACTGACATGCTATAAAAAGCTATTATTTTTATTGTTTTGTTTCTCCAATAATATTTTCATAGTCCCTTTCCTTTAGTAAAAAAGTAAACATCTAATCTCAATTTTCTGTGTATATTGTAGATCCCAAATGGCAGTTCCTGCTGATGGAGAGGTTGCTCATGTTGGGGAGGGCATCAATTTTTACCTAAGGCTTGGTGCACTAGGTAAAATCTTTTTTCCTTACTAGATCTATCTTTCAAAACGTGGTAACTTTTCTTCTTGTTCTCACCTCCCTTTCTGATATTTCTCCTTGAACTGTAAAATAATTGAGTTATCCAGAGTGGGTGTTTTCTATAGAGGTAGTAATACAGTTTAACCAAGTGAAAATTTAACTAGTTCCTCAGCCTTAAGAGTTTAAGAGGGCTATAACTATAACAAGTGAAATGAAAAGTGCTTAAATATTTTTAATTTTCTTTTTTTTCTGTTTAAAAAAAGAATTTTGATAAATATGAAAACGGACCAGGAGGGACAGATGTGAAAATTAATAATAATGACTTTGTATGAAAATATTATTCAAGATTAATATAAAAACCATTATCTTATAAAGAAATCTAACTTAAAAAATATTGATATGGTGGAGGTTAAGTGGTTATTTACTTACATTTTACCAAATTCAGGCCAATGGAGTTGAGAAGTTTAATTTCAGCTCATTGAGCATGATGAATAAAGGCTGAGAATATATTATTAAATTCATTGTATTGTCTTATTTCATGAATCAGTAAACTTTTTAAAATCTCATTTTAATAATGAATTATGGCCAGTATAAAGCCTATTTCATTAACTGTATAAAGTTTGACACTTACATTAGAGAAAGTGTGCATTTTTATTTTCAAAGTAGGGGAAAACGTTAGCAATACTTGATTTCTTGGCTGATAGTTCTGGGATAAGCCTTTTGAGTAAACTTATAACTAACATTTTAAAAACACTGAAATGTTAAGTAAAAATAAGAAACAGAAGAAAAAAATCATAAAAGTAAACTTTAAAACAAATCTTTATTAAAATCTGTTTCTTTGTCTTTTCAGCATTTTCTATTGGCAGTGTTACCCTGGATGGTTTCCACATTGCATCATACTTTGAGACAGAGAACACGACTACCTGTGAGAGCTACATCTTTACAGTGGTCTATGTCCTGCATTTGATTTTTACCTTTATCCAGACATTTTTCCTGTTCAAGAACCACAAGGTGAAACATCAGTTCTCTGTGGTTGCACTAGTTTTAAAACTTTATAAACAAATTGGAATGGGTATTTTGAAGTAATGGGGATGTGTTATCTCCCATTAAATTTGTTAACATTTTTGGAATAAACATAAAAAAAAATTTTAAAAAAAAACATAACTTAGCTATTGATCAGAAATTTAAGGACAAAAATTTTTGTTTTCGCTTATCAAATTCAAATGTAATACGAAAATCCTTTACCTAGCAAATATTTAAACTCCAGTATAATGTTGTTTTGTTCAATCAAGGGAGATAACAGATATTTTCTAAGCTTAATACATGGATACTTTAAATACATTCTTTGATGTTTTTGGGACCCATAATTGTATCCCTTAAAAATCAAACTCCATTAGCAAATGGCATTTAACCACAAACACAATCAATGTTGTAAAATACATAAGTAAAGCATTTATGCATTCTTCATAATAGTTTTACAAGTTAGTTCAAAATCTTTATTTCCTTGCCTTTTTTGTTTAAACTATAGTTTTTCTCTTGTGAGTCATATTTTTTCTTATTTTTTGTTTAAGGAAGAATAACACTTTATAACAAAAAGACTGTAGGAATGAGTTATTAAAAAATGTCTTTTAAGTTTGCTTTTATATAGCGTAATATATTTGTAAGGACTATAAACCTATAAAAATACTTGTATGATTCCAGCTTGTGATTGATAAAAACAAGGCATCTGTAAGGTTTGGCCTGATGCATCTCCTAGCAACCAATCTGGCAGTCTGGTTTGTAACAGCCATCACTGAAACAGCAGAGGACTTTAAGCAACAGAATTATTTTGCTATTCGAAATGGTTAGTAGCGACCATAAAACAATTGTACACACATCTCTATTATTTGTTTGAGTTGTCATTTTTACTTACAATTAAAAATAATTATCTTGACTATTTCCCATCATTTACTTTAAGTTTTCCAACATCCCATTTAATTAATTAGTTAGTTTTTCCTAAATATTTATAAATTTCTAAAGTTTGTGTTGAAATGTTTTAGAAAACACAAGTATGGAAGGTAACTCCAGAAGCTGCTATGAAGATGTCACTTTAGCCAGAACTGCTTCCCCTTATTTGTTCCCATGCACCATCATATACAGGTCTGGTGACATTTTATTTTTCAAAATAAACAAAATACTCAATTCATTGAAACTTTAAAATATTCATCTATTTTAGAATGTTATTAAAAATAATTTTCCTCCGTTTGATTGATAACTCACAATGATTTTCTTTATACCTTAAAAATGAAATTTAACTGAACAAATTCGTGTTATGGTTAATTTTAAAGCTTAAGTTTAGCTAAAGATTAACGTTTAGTTTCTATAGAAATATTATTAATGTGATAATATTATTAATGTGATAACAAATTTAAGCAACCTAACCAAACAGTATTGATACACATATTGACCTTATGATTTAATAAAAATGTGTAGAGAATTTAAACATTCTTTTCACTTTCTTCAAAGATTCTATCACATGCTGAAAACTGATGATTGGATGATTTCTGTTTGTTTTCAGCATTATTGCTTCAGGCATTATCTATCGTATGTACCAGTATGTGGGGGTAAAAGTCACCCAGCGCTGGCCGAGCCACACGTCCTTGACCTCCAGTGTGCCTGCAGGTGCCGTGGGCATGGACTGTGAGAAGGCCAACAAAGGTTTATTCACTGGATTACTGGTTGCAGTTGTGACTCTCATCGCCATTGCGACGTTCTTTGTTTTTGAAAGTCGACTGAATCACCCTCACACAGCAATTAAGGTAAATCAGATTTTCAATTTGTTATAGACAGTTTTATATTCCTTTCCTTTTGTTGTGTATTTGTAGTTTTATTATTAAAGATTTGCTTTTAAAAATTAAATTTTTAATCATAAAATAAGAATATAGTCTTTATATGAGTGAAAAAAAGTAAAGATTCCGCTTTAGACTTAGCGATCCATTGGGCACATGAAGTATAGCTCATATGTTTCTTTACCATGGCATATAAAAGGAAGGTGTGGTCAGCACTTTGCCCTGCCACCTTTACTTTCCCTAACATGAGTTAGGTACCCATCAGAGTTGGATGGACTCAGGGACGTTCTACTGATTTGGACCCGGATTCGAAGTCAAAACTTTCAGGTTACAGCCTAGCGCTCTACTGCTTAGGCCATGCTGTCCCATTCTTTATATAAGAGTGAGCTAAAAATAATTTCTATAGATTATGCACAGTTTAAAAATTTTTATTTTTTTAGATTTTCTTTGTGATGGAGATCTCTTTAATCATCATCACTGGAAGCTGCATCTTGTTTGGGATGTTGCGCTTTGTGCAGCTCAGATTCCTGGAGAATTACCTCTCTTTGGATGCTGTCTTGCTGGTGATTTCCCTTGGTGGTGCTTACATCTATTTGAGCTTCATGCTTATCTCATCTGCCTCCATGGTGGAGGTGCATGGAGTGATAAGCATTTTATCACTTGCTGTTATTTGTGTTGGAATTTTAGAGTCAACACTTCAGGTAGGATAAATACCTTCATTTTTTTCTTTTAACAATATTCTTATATTTTTAAGTGATGTAGTTATTAAAATAAAGGAAAGTGTCCCTTTCAAACCTGACGGTCTATGGGGCAAGTGAAGTAGAGTTCACTTGTTTCTGTGACCTCAGCATTTGAAGAAACAGTGTGGTCAGCACTATGACCAGCCGCCTTTACTTACCCTAACCTGAGTTAGGTGCCCATCAGAGTTGGGTGGACCAAGGACGGTCTACTAACTTGAACCCGGATTTGAACTCGAGACTTACGGATTAGTAGTCCAGCTCTCTACCGCTAGACCACTCTGTCCCTTGATGTAGTTATAGTAATACAATTTGTTTTAGTTTTCTTGAAAGTAACGGGTTTGCTTTCTAAAAAAATGTACTGAATTTAGAAAATTGATATTATTATCCTTTATCAGATAAATATTAAATAATTTCAATGGAAATAAAACCTGTCAGCATTAATTTTTTTTTGTCATAAGTTAGATCTATATTCTATTTATACCTTAATTCTTAATAGGGTAAATCACTAACTTTTTTTAAATAACAAAGTTGAATTAAACCTAGATGTAATGTTACTTTATTTTTCATGCAATTATCCATAATTTTAAAGAACTAGAAGAAATTTCTAATATTTCTATTATTAGTTTGAATAGTAGTAAAAGCAACTTTTTTTTAACTCACAGGCAATTTTCATCCTGGATGGTCTCTGCCGTCGAGCAGATAATGACGGACAAGTAGAGAGCAAACCAGGCCGTGCTATTGTCACCTTTTTGCTGGTTTGCAACCTGGCGCTCTGGGTTGTCAGCATGTTTGAGATCAAGAAGACCATGGTTGTGCCATTTCACTTGGAGTTTTATGGAATACTGCCATGGAATATCATGCTCCATCTGTGTGTTCCCCTCTTCATTTACTTCCGCTTCCACTCAGCCATTTGTTTGTCCAAGATCTGGTACCACGCCTACCAGAAAGAGCGCAACCCATGACTAGCAAACGTGGATGTCAGGGATGGACAGTGGGTACCACTAATGGAATAACGATTTTTTTTTTGGTCCTGAGAAACAATTTTAACCACAACGAAATACGGAATTTAAATCAATTAAAAAACTTTTATGTTAGAAACCACTGGAGAAAATAAATGCTCTGTAATATTTTTGTATGGTATAAATGATGGTTTTGTGTTGCACTAAGTTAAGAGCAAGTATTTAAAATAAGCAAAGTCATTAAATTAAAATGCAATACATTTTGTATCAGTTTGGCAGTTAATTTTAAATAAGTATCCAAATTTATATTCCCAACCCATTTTTAATTATAAATAATTTGTTACATTTTTAAAAAACCTTTTCCAGAGGACCTATTACCTGCATAGCATAGTAAAATTAAAAACATTATCTTGTAATTCTTTTATTATGAATTCTCTTGTCTAAAGGATAATAATCTAGATGATTTTCTGTTATTCTAGTTTCAAAATTCTGAATAACATACTGAGTACAACAGCATAAAAGTATTTACTTAAATCACCTATTATTAAGGCAGCAGATATTTTTAGCGTATGGACCTTGTCAGATTTTTGAATGACTAGTTTTAAAATGGTACCAGAATTAGTTGAACTAAATTAATGTTAATGAGATTTAAATGTTAATACTTGTATTTAATGTAAATAATATTTAATCAGTGTAGTCCTTTTTATTTTGTCATTATCATTTCAATTTCACCCAATCATTGTCATTGGTTTTTGGATAAGCTGTTACATAAAACATTGCCAGAGTAAGCTGCCCTTGATTGTCTGCAAATATTTTCTGAATATATTATTCAATGCAAATAATTTGTAAATGCTGAGTAATTTATATCTAAGTAGGGTTAAAAGTATCTTAATAGTGTTTTTTTTTTTAAATACTTCTAGAAGCAGTAACTACTGTTATTCATTAAAATTAAATTGTCAATACTGGTGATTTAACCCAAAAGTTATAAATCTTGGCACATCTACTCAAAATATAAGTAAATGGCTCCTTTTTTTTTCTCATAAAATAGAATTTTTCTGTAAATTAACAATGATGGACTAGTCGGAAAATAAACCCACAACCGACCCTTTGGTTTGAGCTTTAATTTTCTAATCAAATCGAATGACCAAACACTTTTGTTTTAAATTAGATTTTTAAAAATGTTTTTTTTAATCAAACTAACTTCAATTTTTTTTAATTTTGCCTTATCTTCTGACAATGTGTGTATCTTTTTAAGCATGCCTTTTTTCTAATAATTTTGTAAATAATTTTTCAATCTGAAAAGCTTTTTTAATCAAAAAGTGTTGTTTTAAAATCTAACAAATAGAAATGTAGTAAAATTTTGTATGTTTAAAATTAAATCTCAAATAAACTATGAAATTTGCTTTCATTCTTAAAAGTATCCTATAAGAAAACAAATATATATTTTAGTTAAAATATGTACATTTTTTATATAATTTTGATTTGATGATACTTTAATGATTAAAATTTTATGTAAGAATTAAACTTTTACTCTCAGCAGTTTAGCTGTACTTAATTTTTTTTTTAAACTTGTTCATTACAACAAATTTTCTTGTGTGCAAGTAATATACATGTGCATAATGCTGACATATATTCAACCTGCAGAAATGTCACTGGTGTTGTAATATACATTTTAAGCTTATTTTCTTCACATTTCATGTAAACTATTGAATGAAAATTCATTTCATGTCAGGCCTTTGTGCAATGCTTCAAGTACTTTTTATTGAATAGCTCTTTTAAATGGAAGTATGAAAATAATGTTAAAAATGCTCCTTAGATTTTAAATACATTTCTTTAATTTAAAAACGTTTTCTTAAAAGTTTTTAAAAAAAAGTGCTAGGGGAATACTGTTTATATATATATATATATATAACATTTTTTTTGTTATCTCTGTACAGTTTACCTAACAAAGAAAAGTGCTGTTTCCAAAGGAATTTTAATTATTTGAAACTAATTTAATATGTAATTTGTTATTTTTTTAAAGATAGCTATGTAAACTTAAATAAATATTCTCTACATAGAGCTTTTAACCAACTTAAATCAGCTTTTTTCTAAATACTTTAAGTTTTTTATTACCCTTTTTATCCATAAAGTAAACAATAATCACCAAGTAAAACTTGAAATTGGCTACATTTAATTAATCGTCAATGTGTAAAAAAAAAATTTATATTTGGAAGGCAGCTTCAACTTTTTTTTTACATATGTTCAGTGTTTAAAGGAATTATTATTTAAGAGATGACCTAAAGTGTTCTACACATTTTGCTCAAACAGAATTAAAAAAACATATATAACTCATTAAGAAATTAAATGTAGACATAATTATAAATGTTTTCCTCAAGTAGAAGATTAACTTCGGTATTAGTTGTTGTGCTCAATTTGTTTAATTATGTATCAAGGTTTAGTTGGGGGGTTTTTTATATATAAAAATAAAAGGGGCATTAAAAAAACTTTGATTTTTTTTTTTTTTTTGCTATTAACATTTTCAATTGAAAATTGTATGGTTTTAGATAAAATAATTGCAAAACAAATTTCAATAACATGTGCTTAAAAAAGCTAAACTATTATAGAAATGTTTGTAATAATTTATTATTTCTTCTACATTGTAATTTATGTTTTCAACCTCCTGTTATATAAAATTGCATGGTGCTATGCTTATTTAATCACAACTTTTCATCCATTTTGCCTTCGATTGTGTAATTTTTCAGTATTTACTCTCTGAGATGTATTTCAAGAAAATACAAGTCCCAAGAAATGTACTGATAGTTTGTATTATAAAAATGTATTGGAATTTTAACTTTTCACTTTGACAAAACATTTTAGCCCTGGTTGATCTGTTACATAATGCAATACTTGCAATATTTAATATTTTTACCTCAAGTTTTTAATGGCATAACTTTAAGACTTCAGATGTTTAAAAAGCTCTATCATATTGATCAAAAAAAGAAAAACTATTGTTACATAAAATTCAGCAAACAAGTAAATTTTGTATCATTTATTTGCATAGGCAACATGCAACAAAAAGGAAACAAGGAAAAGAAACATTATGTACCTTGCCAGGTCAGCTAGAAACAATGACCTATAACAAATAAATGCAAACATCTTATGACAAGGCACAGCATTTTCTAAATTAAAGAATTCCATCTAGAGCAAGAATGATTTAACTTAACTGTCTTTATACTAAATCAAGCTACTGTGAGATTTTGAAACTTAGTAACTACATTCAAACTTAATAAATATTATTTACTTTTGAAAAAATAGTTAAACCATAATGTAGGGATGTGTATTAATTAATAATAAAAATTTGTGCTTTTAATATGTTAATAAATGAAGCTGACCACAAACAGGGTTTCAAAAATTTATTATTTTAAAATTCATATGGAATATGTTGTGCCTTTAGTAAGTTTTTTTTTTTAAATAAATCAAAATTGTACCAACATTTCTATGAAAAATAAAAAAAAATTTACATTTTAAACTTCTATCTACATTCTGAAGTTAACAAGAACCTTTTAACAAAGTTCACAATGACATAAAATTTTGATTCAAAACAATTCAACTTCTAATACAAATTCACCTTCATTAAGATACAATTTAAAATATCACTATATATCTCATTAACACGCATAGGCATTTTTTTTTCATTGCAACTTTCAAAATACTTTTTTCCATACATCAGCATTTTTTTTAAATATAAATTCACATAATGCATTAGCATGTTTAATAATTAATGCAGCAAACATTTTAAGACCATACCCTCTTTTGTATCAACAATAAAAACCGAACAATTATCAACATTATACATGCATTGCAAATTGTACTCATATTATAATGGCAGATATACTCATGTTTATACCAATAAACAACACCTCAGAACTTATACTTTTATATCAGTTTTACTATATGTAAATATCTGTATGTACAATCTTTTGATATTTTGACCCATTATTTTCTCCTGTATTGTATTTTAAATGTTTTTTTTTCTAGTAATGTAGTAGTAACTTCCAGGAACAGTAAAATATTTTGTTTGGATTAATAATTTGAGTTTGAAATTATGTAGTGCTTTTGTTTTGATGGAAATAAAGATTTGTTAAGTAAAGTTTATTTGTGTTTATCTCACCCAAACATTCCCCTGTAACACTAGTTTAGTGATTCAAATTCTCAACTGTCTTTTCCACTTAACTTTTGCCAGGTATGGATTAATTATATTTATATGTTAAAGGTTCGGGTAAGTAATATAAGGTTTGTGGATTACATAAAAGTACAAGGTATTTTAAACAATACAGTGTGGAAAAGTATAAATAAAATTAAAACAGTAATTACCATTTTCTAATTTTGAAACTAAGGATTTCAATTGTTTTTTAAGTTTCTAATTGAAAAAAATGTTTGATTGTTTGTTTTAAATCTAAACTTTTTTTTAAAATGTTTTTTTTTTTAAATAATTATTTTACGAATGCAAAATTTTAATCTACATCAATGAATGTTAAAATTGTTCTCAAATTCTCTTGATCATTTAAACCGTTTTATTATGACGTATTTTATCTTAACCAAGACATCGGTACAAAGTCAAACGAATCTATATTTGAACTCTGCTAATTTTGTTAATACTTTTGAACCTTGATAAAAAATGATTTAAAGTTTGTAAAGGGGAGAAGTATAAAGAGATTTTCATATTTGAATAAAAAGATACAATTGAATTATAGAGCAAAAAAAAACTTTTAAAATTTATTGTTGGTCTTTGATATAACATTGAAAAAGGAACAGAATACTTTCCATTAGAAGATCTTAAATGACAAGAATACTTCCTAAACACTGAAACAAAAATTGAGTACTTTTCCATAGAAGATTTTACATGGTTCAAGTCTAAAGAACTCCCGAGTGACTTCCAGCTAAATAGCAAGACTTGTAATGAACAGGCTCTACAATGTTTGTCAGATTTGTTGAAATAAATAGGAAGTAGTAAATTTTTGGGGTAAAAGTATCTGCATAAAATGAAAACAAATGTGTAAATAAATTTTTAAACATTTGAGGTTTTTCTTGCTTATTTTGTAATAAAGAATAAGTCAATTAAGGACTTTCTGTAAAGTCAAAGTAATTTATGATAGAAAATTTCATCATTTATTTTGAGATTTTAAAAAATTTTTCATAAAGAGAGTCAAATGTTCATTTTATAATGGACCTTAAAGTTCTGTTTTTCTTAATTTTGGTCCTCTTTCCTTCTTCTTTTTTAGTTTGATTGCGTCTTTCTTTTCTTTTTCTTGTTTCTTTTTCATTTTATCTGTGAGATCGTTTTGGAGCTGGAAAAAAAAAAATTACTTAAAAAAGAAAACCAAATTTTTAAAAACAAAAATAACCAAATTTCAATAAAAGGTAAAAAGAAGGGAAGTTAAATGTGGATATTTGAAGTTATAAATATTTATTAATTCAATACCTAAATGAAAAGTAAGGAGTGAAATTATGTAATAACAGATAATTCCTTAGAATAAGAAGAACACTAGAGACTAGCAGTCGCCCCAATAAAATTGAATGTTAACATTAATTGGAAGTGAAAGCCCAATATTTTAATAAAACAATTATTTTAACTAAGTGCTCACACTACTTACCTTAGTTAATGCTAAATAAGGATTTATAAAGAATTTATCCTTTGGAATAATATTTGCTTCTTGCGCCATCTGAAATAAAAGTAGATAAATTACTTCCTAGGAAGAAAGAGTTTAAACCTTTTAATAAAAATGTACTATGTTCTAGTGCATAAATTCTATCTTACTTTTTTCAACAATTTTAAACAGAAATATATTCAAGAAAATAAAAGTGGATTTTGACTTTGTACTTATCAAGATGAATAAAAAAAAATTAGTTTAATAAGTTTTTTTTAGAAGTAAAACAAACAATATAATAATACAATTTATTAAAAAATATCTACTGAAAATTTGCTTTAAAATTTATGTCAATAAATAAGTAAATGGCAAGCATACAAAAGGTTTACCTTGTCAAATTTTAAAAAGACCTCTAAAGCTAGTCCTATAACATATATTTTGTATGGCTCAACAATACAAGTGAACTTTAGCTTATTACAGGTTTGTAGTTAAATCTTATACTAAATTTTGACCAATTTCTAATGACTGAATTTGTTACAAACTTTACAGAAAAGTGCATCTTTATAATTATTTTTTTTCTAACTAGTACTTTAAAAAATAAACATTATTTGTAATTGAAAAATAGAGATACTAGATTGTAGAAGACTGGTTTTTAAGCATGTTGTTTATTAATATTTATCCCATGTGTACAGTAACAAAGGTCAGATAATACTTATTTAGAGTGATTTCTAATATGGAAAATATACAACATTAATTTCATCGGGTTAAAAGCAAACATTTTTTCTTAAGGGATCTAAACTTAGAAATGATGGGCTTGGAAAGGATAAATGTAGTCTTACTGTTTAAAAAATGTAGATATTATATTATATTTTTACAATCTTTAAATAAGCCTACTAGTAAGTAGAAAAAAATGTTATGATAGATTATAAATATCTATCATGGTGTCTCCACCTCTCCCCCCTTCCTACTACCCCACAGGTAACGGTACACACCTGGACCTGAGTCCAGCGGTATCGTAAGGCTGACCGGGCCTCGACCCCGGACTGCAGTCACGAGGGCAGAGCCTGAGTCATGTGACATGTAGGGTAGGGACGCTACAGTCCGGTCACTCTACCTTCTCCCCTCTTCGGAGGTACACGTTTTTTGGTGCCAAGGCACTAGCCATTATAAAATACACTTATTTTGGTGCTACGGCACTTGTTCTCCACGGAGAAATTAAACGTACGTTTGGCAATGTGTGTAGAGGATTGTGTGGCTTCTTTGGAAGGTAATGGACACTTACTTTTATTAACTGTACTGTTATATATATATATATATATATTAATTAATAAATATGGAATGAGTATAAAACAATGTATGAATGAAAAGCATATTTTCTAGTAATGTTTTTTGTAGGCCCTATGTCAGGCTAACGTAAATGTAGTATTAACATTGTTACAATAATAAAATTGTATGTCTGAAGTCTGAATGAATGTTTATAGCACGCATATGTTAGGAAGATTGTCAAATGTCTTTACAGCCGGCCAGCTTGGGGCTAAAACAACTTAGACAGTACAGAGGTCTGTGTGAGCAAGTGTGACCACGCCGTCCTGAAGACCAGTCGCCCATTCCAGGCTACTCTAAGTTGTATCATGACTCCTATGCCAATAATTCATGTATTAAAAGTTAAATGATTGTGAAACTGAGTTAATTACTTAGTCATAATTTTAAACCTTTTCACTGAGCCAAAATTCGGCAGTCAGTCAATAATAATAACATAACATTAATAAACGCAATATTAACTATTAAGGGACCTCTTGTCCAGCGAGACAAACCCTAGACCAAACAAGTCATTCTGTAGTTGCGGCTATATCTATTTATAAGCGGTATGATTCGCTAGAGCATATTTGCCACAAAAAATACCAGCGTAAAAACTTTGTTTTAAATGTATTTAAACTAAGAATATAAACATAATTTTTAGTTTAACAATAATAGTAAAGTTGTAGCCATTCAAGAAACCTTTACAAAATATAGAAGCCAATGCTTTTAACCCAATTTTATAATGTGTTTAAAGTAAAGCTATATAATGTTTTTTTTTAATTTGCAATGTGCTTACGTTAATTTAATCATCAGAAAGCAAAACATTTGGAAATAATCTATAATCTTTACCATGTTGAGGATTGCCTTGAACTGTCCGGAATAGACAGCTGACTGAGTACTGAAGCCATAGCACCATGCCAGGAGCACCTGCCATTCCTTTTCTTTGTCGTACATGCTATGGACAACTTCAGGCATGAAAAGAACAAGATCACCAAACATGGCTGTGTTTTCAAGCACCTTAGAAAAGGCTGAAGAATAATTTAATTAATGTGAGATTTTTAAATAGAGATTACAAATCAATATGATTATAAAGAGAATAATGGCTAACCAACACATAAGTATTGGAATAGTGTGGCCTAACGGTAGAGCACTTGATTGTTAACCCGAAAGTCTCGAGTTTGGATCATGGGTTCAAGTTTGTAGGACGTCTGAGTTCACTCAGCTCTTATGGGTACCTGACTCAAGTTATGGAAACAAAAGCCGGGCATAATGCTGACCACATTATCCCGTTGTATGCTGAGGTAATTGAAACAGATAAACTCTACTTCATCTACCCTATGTGTTTTGGGTACAAGAAGGGAAAAGATCATGAACACAAAAGAGTAATTTTTAAACTAACAGAGACTCAGAAACTTAAGGTCAACAAACACCAATATTTTTTCAATCAACGTTTTCAATGTCTAAACAAGATTAAAAATTGTAAAGTTTCAACTTAAGGATTATAAGTCATTATTAGTTACTGTAATTCTTAACATCACTCTTTCGGAACATCTCCAAATTATTCTTAAATGTACAAGCAACCCTTTTGAGTGATTACTGATTGGGTGCAAAATGCTTTTATTAAATTGCCCAAAATGCACATCTTTAAGAAAACATGAATTCTAAATCATCAAGTAACATATGGATCTATATATAATATATAAATGGCATTAAGGGCATTAACAGGTGATGAGTACCATATTAACCAAAATGATTATTTCCAAACCTAATGCTATCATATTTAGCATATAGTTATAACTCAAAGAGTTAAGTTTAAAAATGCAAAAAATGGCAGAACATTTCCTGCTGTTGCCATGGTGATGGCGCTATCTTGGAAATGTTTTTTTACCATCAATCATCCATGCCCTAAATGTGTTTTAAGTATTTATTTTATAGGAGGGACACTTTCATTTTAATAGATTTTCTATTTTCTTTACTCCTAAATTTAAGTGACAGTAGAAGATTTATAGTACTGAATGGAAAGTGATAAAAGCAAAACAGATGCTTAATATAACATTTGTAAAAATTGCATTTCCACTTGAAATTTGTTTAAGGTTCAGAGATTTTTTTTAACTCTGTTGCAGTAAGTTTTAAATTTACATGGATCATTTTTCAAATATAACATGTCCATTCTAAAAGTTAGCCCAAAATTAACTTCTTATCTGATAAAAAAAAACAGTTACTTTGTTGTTTTTTTATCTCCAACTCCTATAGAAATAGAAGAGATAAGATGGGAATAAGCAGATGTGTGAATCATGAAGTAAATGATGTATACATTGTCTCCATAGATAAGAGTAGTATTTCTGCTTCTCAAAAGTCAAAGACAAATGAGAGTCTCAATTTTGTTGGTTCATTAAACCTAGGCATGGGGTTAAGATTTTAAAGTAAGATGAAGTTAGTCTGTCTGTAACTCCAATTAGCAAATGTGAACAGTCAAAGAAATACTCAGAACAAATAAAAAATTAAGGGGGAAAACAAAACTATTTTTCAGATTTTAACATTTGATAGGGGTTTTTTTTCTTGTTTAATTTTTATACTGCTCATTTAAAAAATGCTTTAATTTGCTTATTAATTTTATATTTTGTATTTTTCATTTGGCCTAATACCATATTTTATTTAATTTACCAAACATTGTTACCTTCTTTAACATTTTCATCTTCTGGGAATGGATCCCCTGGTAAAAAGCCATGTAATGTTAAATTCTGCTTTGCTTCAGCAAGGACCTGCATTAAAAAGTTTAAAGGATTACTAATCCTTAAAAAAATGAATACTTTTATGGTTCAATTTAGTGGGTAGATCTAATGAAAATATTAATTTAATTTATTTTAACCATTTTTTACTTTAAAACCATAGCAATACTTCTGCTTTGTTTTTAATTGTAATGTTGGAAGGGATTTCCTCAAAAACAATTGAGTATTACATTTGAACCTGTTATACAACATACAGGCTGTTGACTCCAATTTCAACTTTTTCTTATACTATAGGATTTGCATAGCCTTTGTCCAACCAAGAACAAACTACAAGGCAGCAGTTGTTTTATTATGGAGTTTTTCTCTCCTAGATGGGTTGCTGTCCCTGCTGTCAAGCCTCATCTGCCCAGGGATGCAAACTTTATTTAGCCATGAGCTTTACCGACCCAACCACACCGACCTCCCATTGCAATAACATATAAAGTAAATTTACAGGCTCGTAAGATGTAAAGCATTTTTCTTTTGAGTTTTCTCTGAGATTTAACTAGTAAAAATAATGAATCACCTCACCTTAAATAACTGTTTAAGCATCATGTTGACTAATTGGTATCTCTGCTCATTATTCTCAAACTGTGCTATACCCTTGGCTGCTTCCAGTTGTTTCGTTCGATGTAAAAGGAAGTGGCGTTTATCTGCAGTTATGGGTTAAGAAGCTTATAACCAAAACTGCTAAGTTAGACTCATTTTAGGAAAAACGTATCAGTTGTAATGCATGATGAAGTAATCACTTTATGTTAAAAAATGACAAATTAAGACTTTGAAAAGGTAAGAGGTGAGAATTCATTTATTTTTATACATTATACGGCTAATCCTATTTATTCTAACCCTTTTAAATTTAAATAGATTAGCAATGTCTATCCGAGCTAAACTTTTTTTTTCTTCTATGACACAATGCACGTCCCTGAGTCCACCCAGTTCAGATGGGTACCTGACTCAAGTTAAGGAAACAAATACAACTGGACAGAGTGCTGACCACATTATCTGCTCCCCTCCCCCATAAGCCAAGATCATTGGCACAGATAAACTCTACTTCATCTCCCCATGTGTCTTGGGTAGGAACGAGAAAGGATGAAACAACACTGTTACTCTGGTATGGTCTATCTACGAGTTTGCTTAAAATGACAGTACTTATAAATACTAGAATAATAGAGTATCAAGCAGCCCCCAAACCAAGTTAAAAGATAAATTATAGGCCAATAGGCTTAAAATACATATACTAAGTTAACTAAGTAAATAGCTGGTTAAAAGGTAAAGGTAGCTGGGCTTAGTAAGGGTGGATTATAAATTAAAAGTATGCTTCATACTATTACTAGGCCTAATAAATATATATTATTAATTATATTAGTATTAGCCTATTATTAGGCTAATCTAATATAAGATCTAGTAATATACTCACTGCATATTTGATTTAAAATATTATATTTATAGACTAACTTGATGTACTACCAATGTCTATTAATATTACATCATTAATAAAATTAACAAATTAAAATTAGGCCTATAGTAAACTATAGTTTAACTTAAGACTTAAACTTTAAGTCTTAAGTAAATTTAAGTAAATTAAGTTACAAATCAATTTTTTTTGTTAGTCTAGTCACTAGACTAGTCTTAGAAATGATTAGTTTTGTTAATTGTTAGGCCTAAGGCCTAGGCTTGTGTTTTTAGTATAGTTTAAGTTTAAAGTTAAAGTTTAAAAGTTAAAGTCTAAAGTTTATGTGGCCGAGGTGCTAGATCTATCTAATATTAATAAATTAGATCTACTACTTAAAATTAGGCCCTACTAATAATTTAATAAATAATTAATTAATTATTAATTATTAATTAAATCAATCAATATTGTCATTGATTTGATTAGTTAATAAAAATAGTTAAGGATACATTCTTCCAATTGTGGCGAAGTTTCAACTGGTGGTGGTGTGGGCTCCTCATTTTCTGTCGACGATTCCTCTTCTTTATTGTCAGTCTGTGTCTGCTCGTCCGAAGTAGATTCTTGAGTTTGAGGTTTTGGCGGAGCGCTACTTTCACTTTCCATTTGGGCTACAACTGCCGGGTCCTCTCCTCCACATTGTGGACATCCTCGAACATAGAATAGTAACACTGCAAAACTAAATAATAAAAACAACTTCATTTTTCCCCAGTTTGAAACTATCTAACTCCAAATGTAAGTGGTTTTTAATGCTGCATTGCGCCCTATCAGTCTTCACTAGTCTTCAGTATAAGCCAACCATGCGATTAATATTTTCTCTACGTGTCGTAACCTAGAAAGACAAGTTTTTTTTTTTTTTTAGCCTAATTTACTCAGCTGTTGCCGCTATCGCTTCGTGTGTGCACAAATTATAGAAAAGAAACGCAGTGATCTGTTATTAGAAAAAGTGTTGGTTTGTATGTAAATCTAGATCAAAAGCACTCGGCAAATATTTTTTAATGTTAAGATCGTCTTACACGCTGTTTTTATTACCAATACTGTGATCGTTCATTCCTTAATTTAAATAATTTTGCAATGGGTTGACACAAACAGATAAAAATCTAGATTTACATCGTCGGATGCTACTAAAACGAGAAAATGGGGAGGGGAGGGAAAACAGTAAAAGGAAAAAAAGAAATTAGCATGCTAATTCTCGAGTTCATTTACATAACGGCGTTTAATTCTGCTATTGTAATGTTCTACCCACTGACGCAAAACGTAGCGACATAGCCTAAATTAACCCAGTGAGCCTAACAATATTGACTTTTTCCTAAGGCCAGTGTTACTAAAACATTTTTATTATATATTGTGATTAGAAATTGTAAATTATTGTTGTGCATATATTATTATAAGCATATTGTATAGGCTAATTCTAGTGGTAATGAGTAGTGTATCATTTTGTGGGTGTTTGGAAATTGCGAGACGCGAAAAGCGAAATGGCGAGGCGGGAAAATGCGAGAAGATAATGCGAGACATACCTGCGGAATCAAGGGTAAATAGCGAGACACCTTTTGCGAAAAAAAGTTTTTCTTCATGTTTTAAAATAAACAAGCATTTAGCCATACCCTTTAACACGAGTGTTGTATGTTGTTAATTTTTATCTAGAATTTATTATATAGATAGATAGATACTAAGAAGATAGATCGATCCCAAAAATCTTGTCTAATTTCGGTCAAAATAGAGTATTTTAATCAATTTATATTACAATTTATTAAAACAGTTTTCTAAAACGCGAAAAAACGTCTAAAATTCTTTTTCCAACATTTCTTTTTTTTAGTGTGACTTCACAACGTCTAACCCCCCTCCTTCCCCTCTTCACACATCGTCATAAAATTACAGACCCCCTCCTCTCTCCCCCCATACGAGTGTGACGTCATTTATGGAAAACCCCAAATAACACCACCACGAAAACCAAAAAATTCAGATAAGTTCAAATTGGTTTAAAAAATATTTGAAGTAGGCCCATAACTTACGACATAGAACGAGCAACTGATAATATCGGTGACGTCACTTTTATTTCCCCCCCCCCCCCCAAACAGCAAGTAAGAGAAAAAAACTGGGGGCACTGAGAGTTCATAAAAACTTAGGAATAAGCAACACATAAGGGAGGGTTAATCTAGTCCTCACCTTCACATAGGGCAGTAATCGTATACTTAATTTGAGGTTATTTTTTCTGACTTGTTTATGGAAATAATAAATAATACATTTTTATATATTTTTACAATTAATTAATAAATAATTTTATTTAATAAATTAATAATTAATAAATAATAATATAACATTTATGGGAAAATTCGGAAAAGTCACCACCGTGATATAAAATCTAATATAAATTAGTGTAAAGGAACATTGGAAGAGAAAACACACTGTAAGTAGTTCTTACCTCCGGAATACTTGTATCCAAATGATGTAGGCATTTCCTTGTGTTTATATTTATATGGCAAAAAAAGCTAGGAAAAAAGCGTATAAAGGGTATAAAAGGCTATAATACAAAATTTCTATGCAACAATAGAAAATATGTTTGCGGCGGCAGCGGATCCGGGCACGGTGATCTTCAAAGACGGTAAATCAGGCGGCCTCGGCGTTCCACACAAAAGACAGAAGTTGCTCTATCGTCGGCGGTATTTCCGTCGGTTTCGAACAAGGTGGTATTCTAAGTCGACACAAAAGATGGGGGAAGTTGACAAATCATCAGTATGTCTAGCGACGGAAAAATAGGAAGTTTTAACAATGTAAACGAAATGTCTTTGAAGTCTGGACCAAATACCACTGAAAATCGGGTTAGGTAAATTTTTCGCAGAAATCTTCGCATTTCAACACCACCCAGCGTAAGTATCGGGTTGTGGTAAAATGCGAGACAAAAAGTCACGTGACCGACCGTTTTCGCGCCCTTCTCGCATTTTCCCGCCTCGCCATTTCGCTTTTCGCGTCTCGCAATTTCCCCACACCCTCATTTTGTTGTAGGCCCATAGAGTAGTGTTCGATAGGCCAACGAATCTCCCTTAGATTTCTTTATTCTCACCCCCTCCTTTTTTGCGACACTTTTAAGGCAGTTAGAATAATTAGATGAATAAGTTGGCTTTAAACATTCAGTTTTTAAAAACACTAGTCTAGATCTAAATGGCGTATATGTTTTTATAGGTCAAATGAATGTAGTCTCATCTCATTGTTATTAAGGCGAGAGTAGGCTAATGCTTATAGCTATGCCTATATGCCTAAACGTGGTAGTATATGCTATCAGCGTTTCTTCCAGACTTTTTTTCTCCGGGGGGGGGGCACTTGAAATTTTCGGGTGGGGGGCGGTAGACTTTCTTCGGGGAGGGGGGGGGGGGGCGGACACTGTTAAAAGTATATGTTTTCTATATAAATTATATAAATTTCATTTCGTTCGGGGGGGGGGGGGGCGATAAAAAAATTTAGGAGGCTTGCCCCCCCCCCCTCCGAAGAGATGCATGGAAGAAACTCTGCTTATGATATTAAGGTCTACTAGGTCCCATATTAATTTCATGTAGGCCTCCGTATATAGCCTATTTAAATATATAAGGTCTTTTCTCATTATTGGCCTATAGACCTAAATATATGTATAGTATAAGGCTAGTAGTAGTCAGTGTTTGTTCCAGACTTTTTTCTCCGGGGGGGGGGGGCACTTGAAATCTTCGGGGGGGGGGGGGGCGGACACTGTTAAAAGTATATATTTTCTATATAAATTATATAAATTTCATTTCGTTCGGGGGGGGGGGGGGGGGGCGGTAAAAAAATTTCGGGGGGCTTTGCCGCCCCCCCCCCCCCCCCCCCCGAAGAGATGCCTGGAAGAAACTCTGGTAGTAGTTAGATCTAGATCTAGTTTAGGCGTAAATCGCGCTGCTCAAGTATTTTCGCATTCCACATAAAATACCGTCCTTGTTTTTAGATTCCTCTTTATTCCTAAACCACAACAAATATCTTTGCTTATCATGGCAGACGTGGAGTTTCACGACGAGGTGTTACGTTACATCCATTTTAAATTTTTAAATACAATTTTGGGCACTAAATTAAATAGATGTTTAACTGTTTATTATAATATTGATAGAAAGTTTATAAGCTTTAGATTCTATGTCTTAGCACACTAGATCTATGATGATGTTTAACTTTAGTGTGTTTAGAGTCTAAACTTTAGACTTTAGACGGTAATCTATCGTTTTGGGTACGTAAAATCGCCCGCGGCTATTAATGTACGAAAATGTTACCTCATTGTCAAGGCTTAAATAGAGGTATATTGTGATATGTTTGTGTCAAATATTATAGATAAATGGATAATAAACCTAAATCAATGGCTAAATAATATTTAGTAAATAAATAGGATATCAAATAGGCCAGAAATTAACTTTAAACAGCAGTGTCTGCGAGCAAGATTTGCTATATAAACAGCAGACATGTAAAATAGAGTGACTTCCCCCTGAATCTTATAAAAATAAAACTTAAACAAGATGGCTGCTATAGTAGTGCTATAGTAAATGAGCATGGTTGCATCTGTTGGAAACATCGCTAGTCTTCATTTATTAATGAAAAGTTTTAATTCAATTGTTTAAAAACAGATACATAAATGAAACAAGGAAACATTTTTGTATTTTAAAAAACATAAATCCTCCTCAAAATGTGAAATAATTATTAAAATTTAAGGAGTCACCTGTTTTTCACATTACAAGTCGCGGGCGATTTTACGTACCTAAAACGATAGATTACCCTTTAGACTAACTTTAGACTTTAGTAATTATTAATTAGTTAGACTTTAGAGTTTTAGACTGTTTGATATTATGATGTCGGTGTCACTGTCCTGTTGTCGTCAATCGTCATGAACATCATGAATCATGCCTTTACTTTTCTTTTTCAATCAGTGCGGTAGGAAAGTCAGAAAGTAAACCACAGATTACACATCTAGATTCTAAAACTAGATCTAGATCTGATTATTATTCTAGAACTAGAAACTTAATTACTATAGTAATAATTATTAATTAGATCTACTAAATCTAGAGTAGTAGGTCCAGAGGCCTAGAGTGGCCTGGACTTAGAATCTAGTCATTTAAATTTAGGGCTGGCTTAGACTTAGGGCCTCTAGATAGTAGATATCTAACTAGAAACTAAACTATTTTACTTGTCTTTGTGCTTGTCTGAGGGTTTTGTCTTCTTTATGATTATAATTATCTTGTTTAAGATTCTTAATCCTTAGTCTTACTTTTAACTAAATTTAACTTGACTCTCTTGTGGTGAAAGGCGAGATGTGAAATGGCGAGGCTTAAAAACAAAAATGTGAGAAGAAAATTCTAAATGCACAACATACAGTCTAGGACTAGATCTATAAGTGGTGGCTGTGGAATTGCGATCTCTTATGCGCTGGTCTTAGTTTTAGTGAGAACAGTGCAATTTTTTAAAATGATGTTAATGTTAAATGTCTGGACAATTTGTGTTCTGTAGATTGATCCACCCTAGGTCAGGTTTTTTTTTTTAGTTCTGACTGCCTTTTCGTGTGACCCTGGGCTCCCCCATTAGCACTATTGGTACCTTCATCAGTTTAAAGAGTGCATTATGTCAGGAATTCAAAGGGACGAATCAAAATATCGTCCAAATCTAGATAGACTCTATCTATGCCACCCCTGCAGTAGTCTAAGTTAGCCCCGTGATGTTCCATAGATTTACACTTGATGTTTTCACACAGCACATCCTAAGGCTTCTGGGCAGTGTTATGGATCTAAGAAATGTAACAGCAGCATTGTTTACATTTAAATAAATCAGTTCTAGCAAAATCTAAGACACTCTTTTAAAAATACAAAATTGGCACTACATTGATGAAATACTCTTAAAATGTGTTTGTTGAAATTCCTTTCTTCTGCGAATGTGCAATGTGTACCCAAGTTGACACTAAAACTAAAACAATTGAGTTTGGGAACTGAATTGTTAGTTTTTAAAAACTATAATTTTTCTCTTTAAAATCCTCAGGTTGTCGATGTGCCACTTGAAGGAGAAATTGAAGTTCCTGGCATAGCTAAATCAGATGATGAGCTATCTACATTAGATGAACCTGTCAAGGAGACAATTGTTTGTATAATTTAAATATTAGCATTTATACATTTATTAACACTACATTTTTCTCTTACTTTCAGTATGTTTGTAAATTAGCCCTATCCACAATTTATTAAGGACTCTAATTGTAATACCTGATACTGATAGTTCTATTCATGGCCATAATTGTAAGCTTAAAAAGTATTTATAATCACAGCTCTACTATTATGTAGGTATGGGTAATCAATAATAACCTTTTGTGATATTTCAGCTATTATTTGATTATTGTAGGATGCTATTTTAAAATTTTAAAGCCTAAAACAAAAAAAGTCGGTTCTCTTAAATCTAAATTCAGATTAAAACCATTTACTTACAGAGATCTGAAGCAAAAAATCCAATTTTTTTTTCATATTTCTCTGTAACTTTTAACAACATAACAGTACAATAATCACCTTAAAATGTCTTATTATAATTTAGTTAGGGCCTAATAATTTTTTATTTTTTTTCTTTAGCTGAGAGATGTTAAGGCAGTTGGTTATAAATTTGCACATGTTTTGGTACCCAAAAGAAGCAGAGTTTTACTAAAAGAATGTTAGTATGATTTCTTATAAATTTTTTTTAAGTACTCAAATATAAGTTGTGTTTTACAAAAAGAAAGTTTTAAAAAAGAAATTTAAAAATAATATTTTTGACAAATAATATTAAATAATTTTATATTGATTGTTGTAATTTCATCCACAGGGGATCTCTGGGGGCCACTTGTTTTGTGCACTTTCTTAGCCATGTAGGTAGACAAATCTTCTATAAATTAACTACAAGTTTTTATATTCAAGAAAATAAATATTATTATACAAGCCAACTATATTTAAATGGTGGGGGGTAGTTAAATATCTAGCGCAAAAAATAGGTTCTTAATTCATACAATTTTAATATGAATAAATGATTTGAACCATTTTTTTGGAAACAGTATGCTGCAAGGATCAACAGACGAGCTGAACATGATGGGAGAAAATGATGGAGGGCCTCAGTTTGCTGAAGTGTTTGTTATCTATTGGCTTGGGGCCAGTGTTGTTACACTTAACATTAAATTACTTGGAGGAAACATGTAATTCTCTATCATAATTTTTGTCCTTAAATAAAAATTTAAAGTAAAATAATTATACATAAATTTTATTTTATATTATTATAATTAAATATTTTATAAATTATATACAAGCTTTTTTATTTGTTAAAACTATTTTCTTCAAAATTAATTTATATTTATGTATATACTACTATTTTTATTCTTAGAAAAATAATTATGTTAATAAAACTGATTTAAATTTATTCTAATTTTTCAGCTCATTTTTCCAAAGCATCTGTGTATTAGGCTATTGTGTCTGCCCTCTTGCCATTTCCCTTATTGTGTGCCGCATTCTACTGAGCATTAGCAGTGCTTCTATAGCCATGTTTATAGTAAGATTCATCAGTGTTGTGCTAGGCTTTGGCTGGTCTACATTTGGTAAGTTAACTTTGTAGAAGAACTTGATATGTATAATTTTTATTTTATTTATTCAAGTTATATCATCATTTCTTGACATTGCAATACAGACCACCAACTACAGCTTTCCAAAATTCTCTGTTTTGATGATCCATTCCCACCAGCTTGTTTTCTGTTTAACACAGTTTTTATCATCACTGTAGTTTGGGACAGCCTTTTTTCATCCTCTTGTGGGTTTTCCATTTTAATAGAAAAAACTTAATCATTTCAAGATTTAGCAATTTTTCAAAGCAGAATTATAACCTTAAATCATGTAAAAACTTATGTTCATTTTTTTTTCTCTACCAGCATCCACTGCATTTCTTGCTGAGAGTCAGCCAGCTGGAAGGAAAATTTTAGCCATGTATCCATTGTGTTTATTCTATTTTGTCATAAGTTGGTTAATCATCTCACATACACATTCCTGATTTTCTTTTTTTATTTGACTTTTTATACTGATATTTGAAATAACCATGACCAATTTTGTTTTGAAAAAAAGATTATTTAGAAATCCCAGATTCTCTCCCCTTTTCCACACTTACCAAAAATTACAATTTTTTAAAATTCAAAATAAGTGAAATTGAAAATTCAACTAAGCTATTTAAAAAAATGTTTTGTGACAATTGTGTATATGGTATAATTGGGGTAAAACACACTTACACAAGGTATTTATTAATATGATGGTTTTCTTTTCATCCAATTTTCCACTAATGTATTATCAAAGTTTATAAATATTGTTGTCTAATTTGTAAAATCATCAGTGAGGCTTGTAGCACTCATTGGATATTTTAAATTGATATACATTTTTCAAGATGTCTATAATGAAATGTACATCTTTTATTTATTAATACAGTTTCTTAAGGTTATGTAAGATAAGCATAATACTTATTTTATTGTGCTTTTTTATTTGTGATTGTCTTTAATTTTAACATTAATAACATTTAATTAATCACTTTTTAAAAACCCAGTTACTATATGAAAGATGTTTTTTTAAAAAAACAACTATAGTCGTTTTTTTGTTTATAGACACCTTATGATTGTTAAAACGTACATAAATGATGTCACATGGTTTGTCTCTCTTTGCTCCAAACTTCTTAATGTTGGACCCATACACTAAAATAATGAAACAAATTTTGGCCCACTTAATATTCAAGTATTCTACAAAAAATTAGGTGGTGTTTTTTTTTTTTAAGTAAAATAAAATTGATGCCAAGTAACATTTTTTTTTTAAACTATTTACCCAAGTCAAGTACGTCAGTTGATGATACATATGATATCTAGTAATATTAGTTTCTTTTTACAGTAACCTACTCAATACTTTATCATTTTGTTATATACCAAAACTTTTCTAGATTGTTTTGCCTTAGTTTTCCTCAAGTCTTGCCAGATTGTTCTTTTAAAAAGGAAAAAAAGATATTTTTATTATCTGTCTGATCTTCAAAAATATGCATAGGCCATCTACGTTTTATTTAGCTTGTTTTAATTGTTTATGTGACTAGTATTAAAACTATATAAATGTCACCGTCTTTTGTTTAAAAAATATTGTTTTGTTTTATACAGTTAAATTGCTTATCACTCCACATATTGAACAAGACTAGCATGTTGTATTTTGTCTGATGCTTTATTTACCATTGTGTTAATCTTTTATTATTTCATAACTAAGCCATTATTTGTGTTAACATTTATAAAATTGCAATAATGAATAAATGCCAAACTTTTATTATGTAAATTTAAGGCCACCTGTTTGGTCTGTGATATGATCGGAGTTGTGTGCCTTTAAAATTCAACGCTGAATTTTTTTGAAATGCATTTAACTACAGTGGTCAAGTGGTTACTTTTGGATCCAAAATAAAATTGTTGGAATATTGTTTTATTTTGGTATATGATTTTACTTGTGGTTTGATCTTTGTGTATATAACTTAGTCCTCGTTACTTACCGGGCTTAATTTAATCTTAATCTTTTTTTTAATATATTCTTAATCTGTATATAAGCAATGGTTCTCTCATGAGTTCTGCAGCCATTTTCAAAAACATGGGATGTTATGAGGGAATACATCATACATTTATAAATATAAATTGTTGTGTAGGATAGTTGTTTAGACTAAAAGATTATCATTGGGTATTTTTTACATGATGAGAAGCACCAGGCTAGCCTGAGGTATGAAAAGTTAATTGGTGGTGGTGTGAGTTGTGTTTTTGCTGTGTTGTGTCTATCTGTGCTGTACTTTCAGATGGGGGAGGGGGGATAAAGGCATTGGTTGAGCGCTGGGTTTTGCTGGGGGGGGGGGGGAGCGGCATTTTCATTACCACTCTCTGCTGATTACTTGTAGAAGAATAATGTTCTTAGGTTTATGGTCTAGGTAGGTTTAAAATTTCTAATAAGTATCATGACAAACTAATAATAAAACTAAACGGTAAGGAGTTTTAAATTTTGAATCACACGGTATAGGCTACATAGTACTCAAAGCAGTGACGAACACACCGACTCCCAACACACACATTGCAAAGCGTAGGGAGGGGAGTACATATGTCCTGGGGCGACAAAATAAGCTCATTTTAGCTGCTATTTTGAATTATAAATATATGGGGGGGGGGGGGGCAAATTTGAAAGGTTGTCTCCGGGAGGGGTCGCTACGCCTCTAACACACACATACACTTACTGACGATTAAAATCTGGATTTATAACTACAAGAACTCAAGCCCTTTTCTCAAGTTGAATACTAAGTTGGTCCTGAAAAGGACCTTAAACAAAAAGTAAGCTACGGAACCTGTCGATATTCCGCTCGTAACATTGCCATAAAATTCTATCTGCGTTGCCTGTTGTCCGACAGCCCTAGAGGCCTACTCCTCGAGTTGCATCGTTTGACCCCCCTCTTGGCTTGTTTTTTTATCTTGGGTTTGTCATCAACGACCACGTACCGCCCGTAGAGCCCGGCCTTGATGGCACAAGGGGGGCGCTCTATCTTCCCCAGCTTCAGCGCTAGAATCACCGCAGGTCGGATGTCTGTGGTGGGCGTCAGAAATCCTTCAGAGCACAGCAGGCGGCGTATGGCGGTCATCGTGGAGCCTTCTTTATTCTTCATCGTCCGCAAGGCCGCGACGATGTAGTCGACGAGCGTCTCCACGGAGATGTCGGGTTCTTTCTCGTCCCAAGATCCTCCGGCTGCATTCGATATTTTGGCGACAGCTGTTGGCGGGTAGTCGGCGTCTGGGTGTTTGGGTTCCGGAAAAGCCATGACGTCAGCTGAGGGAAAACGCAGGGGTTTGACAAACGCTGGCAATGCAACGGAGTCATTCATGAGAGGTTGGGTGGTTCATTGTGTAAGCGGACGAACTAGTAAGCATTCTACAGAATGGTAAATTTGAAAAAAATAGGCCTAAATATTTTCGCTGTTTTTAAATAATGAGAAAAGTTTTAATATAATCAGGCTAAGAATAGATTGGCCTTACAATACATTTGAATGAGGCTTAAATTTAAAAAAAAAAATTGACCGGTTTTCTTTAGGATTGAATATAAAAAAGCCACCCAGGAGGTCCGCGGGTGTTTGGAAATAGTTCTTACAAGGGCGCGGCGCCTCCGGCTGGGCAGTGGTAGATCTTTCACCGGCGTGGCGTTTTCCTTCTCAACCATGCCGTGTCTCAGGGCCTCCACGTCGGCGAGATCTCCGGGAACCCAGACACAAAAACCGAGGCGAACGTTACGCGCGGCTCCCAAGAGGTATGCCGCCAGTCGGTATCGTCCAACGACCGCGCCAGCCCGAAACCTGACGACTCGCACCAGACAGCGGAGCTACGGGCAGAACAACTTGAGCCCTAGAACAAGATCAGCAACGATAAAGAAACGGAAACCCGTTGCTGCGGCGCTACCGCCGGTGTTTAAGACGCCCTACAGCCAGAGTCCTAGAGGGAAGGTCATCCCAGAACTTGCTAAAGAATGGATTCTGAACAGCGCGGCGAGAATGCTGGGAATTCCCAGTTTGAGGAATCTTCTTTCGGGCAAACTTCTGACCACGCGCTCGCCATTTTTTCAAAGAAAGGATAAAAATAAACCGGATTTAGGTAAGCCCCGCACGTCAATTATACTGCGGACAATAGAGATGGCACGGGCAGCTTGGGCACGCAGGGCAGAGACGGTCCATAAGAAATTTTCAGAAACGTTTTCTGCAATCAGCACCGGAAGCGTCACCGCCCCCGCGGCAAAGAAACGCCCAACTCGAAAAAAGAAGTGAGCGGAGATTCAACAACTCTCAAGACAAAATTTGTTTTATTTTTTTTATACGGCCCTTTTAAGGGCCAAATAAAATAATTAAATTTCCGATAAAATGGTTTGTTCATTGGCATAAATAATCGCATCATCTCATTGCAACCCTTCTCTTTTAGGCTCGACATATGCCTTGGGGGGAGGGCAGTTTTTGTGACCTGACACACACGTTCATGTCCACCCTCTTTCTTTACAGTTACACATATACATTATGTGTATTTAAAAATCATGCATTCATATACAATTATCTAAATCTACTTAGAGACTTATACAATGACATTTTCCTTTCCGTGGACCATAATTTTACGTCATTTTATTTCATCCTCTCAAGCATGTAGCCTCTAACTCAAACCATTTGTTAAGAATCCAACTCGATGACGCTGCGGAACTCTGTGTAGCTTCCCACTCTACACAGGCGCCATCTTATGTGTTTAGGAGGCAGTTGTTTACACACACTGGAATGGCCTAACACACAAGAACCGCGGGTTAGGTGAGTTCCATTCCTTTGACTGAATAAATCGTAAAATCTTCTCGAGACATCATGAAGAAACGGCCACGCAGAGTAGAGCGGGTTTGGCAAAGCCCCGTTAGCTCACGAACACGCCTGAGAACAAGAGGCCCTACGCCTAGAATAAGACCTGTCCAGTACCCTCAGCAGTGGCTGGGGAGACGTAGATCTCCAGAAGACCGTGCGGTGAAAACATTTCGGCCAAATCGAAACATGCTCGCACCGACGGTCCGTGCTAAAGAAATGAACGCTGAGAACGAGAGCGACGGCATGAGCCCGCAGCAGAAGATAGCCCGCTGGTGCCCGTCGCGAGCGGACTTGAACTCTAAAATTTTCCAACAGGCTTTAAGCAAAAAAGCTCGTATAAAAGAAGCGACGACAAGCAAGCGCTTGAAAAGTAGCTTGATTGAGTTGGTGAAGTTTAAACCTATTCGGCGGAAATCTCCCGAAAAGGGCTCCAAGCGTCGCAGGAAAAAAAGCCAGAAATCCCGCCCCCGGAAACGAGCTTCGCTGAGAAAGGGCGTCAAAAAAAGGGTTTATCGCCGTCGTCGTTCATTACGAACACGAGTGCGTCGCAGGCGTAATGCGCAGAGGCGGAGAATTATTCGACGGCGGCGAAAAACTACACGGAAAACAAGAAGACGTAGGCGAAGAAACGAATCGGAAGAAAGCGACCAGCAACGCCGAGAAGTCATCCACGGGCCGGCCGACGGTCATGCTCAGGATCAAAACCTTACTGAGCAGAAAAAAATAACCGTTGGTAATTTAGACGAGGGGCATGATGAGGTCAAGGAAGATCCCCTGAATGTTTACACTCTGTGGCGGACACTGGTAAAAGGCATGCCCGGCGTTCCAGCAGATAGCAGGGACGTAACTACAAACGACAAGGACGATAAGCCAGAGCTACAGCGCGACAAGAAAGAGAAACCCGTCAAGAAACGAGTTACCCAAAAAGGCAAAAGGCGGGTATACAAAAACACATCTAACAACCGACGTCGGCAGAAAAAAAATCGCAAGCGCGGGAGAAAAATTATACGGCGACCTAAACCTAGAACATCCAGGAGAAAGAAATATGTAAACATCAACATCAGGAATAAAGAGGTGAAAAAGCTCGCAAGGAAATCACGTTGCGCACTCAACGATGATGAACCCGCACCAAACGATGAACCCGAAGATAATGACCCTGACATTTCCAACACACGTCGGTCCAGCAGACACGTAAACCTACAAACGGATTCCCCACCTGCGTCCCCGAAGCCTGTGGCCAGGCCCAAGAAGTCAAACACGACCAGCAGACATGTGGCGATGTATCGGGCCAAAAGGAAGAGACAGCCTGCGCGGCGCAAGAAAACCAGAGCTAAGCCCCGAGCCAGAGCCCGAACCAGCGCCCGAACCAGCCGTCGAACCTACACCCGAACCAGCCACCGAGCCAGCCACCGAACCAGCCACCGAACCGGCTCCCGAACCACTACCCAAAGCAACATCCCAAAGAAAAATAACGTAAACAACAACCAGCAAGAAATAACACGCTGGCATCGCGTAGGTGGGCGACTCATGCGGGTGAAAGATTACATTTGTTCGCGCATACGTTTTCCAAAATGGCTGAAGACAGAACCACCCCCTGAATAACATCACATCGTATTTTATATTTGAAATGTACAGAGTCCATTCATTCCATATTCATTCCAGCAATTGTCAATATAAAAACATCGTTGTTGACGTACATTTCATTCATATTTATAAAAAAAAAAAATTACATATCCATGCTTTATTTAGGAACACTGTGTAACGAAAACGTGAAAAATTAAAATGATCTTATGTAGTTTTTTTTTAAAAACGTGCTAGCCTTATTTTTTAAAAATTACTTTCGATTTAGAATTATTATTTGGCTTATATTGATATTTTAAAGATGTAAAAAAAAAACATAAGTGTTACAAAATAATTTCAATTTGTCATTGCTAGACCAGCCCTACCTTACTTAACATGACGGTTAAGTTAGAAAAAAAACCGGACACTTTATGAGTTAGGTTGTTTTTGTTTTGTTTTGTTAAATTTATTGAGAATTACTGAATGTAGCTAAAGATCTGGCCCTAATAAGTGTTTCTTCCAGACTTGTTTTTCTCCCCCCCCCCCCCGGGGGATGGGGCGGACAACATTTTTCGGGGGTGGGGGGGGGGGGGGGGACGGAGCCCCCGAAGAGATGCCTGGAAGAAAATCTGGCCTTAACCAGCTGGTAGCACACGATCTTAGCAAGTTCAACACTTTCAAATTTTTTAAAGCATTGTTTCTATGGTTGAGGCTGGAATACTCTTTTGTATAAGTATAATCCATAAACAAAGTCAAAGGGGAGAGGGGTTGTGAATATTGTGACGACATGTGACAAGAGGGAGGGAGATTTAAAAAGTGTGATTAAATTTCAGAAGTTTCACAAGACTGTTTTTGTAAATTGTAATGGACATTGATTAAAATACTCAAAAAAGAACAAAATCGTGGCATAATATGACTAGGGGGTCTAAATCGAAAGTTTGAGGGGAGGGGTGCAAATCAAAAGTTTGAGGGGGGGGGGGGGGTGCACATCGAAAGTTTGAAGGGGGGGGGGTAAAAATCGAAAGTTTGAGGGGGGGGGGTGCAAATCGAAAGTTTGTCCCCGGGTAAAAATTTGAACCCCCCCCCCCCCCCCCCCCATGAGACGATCCTGGCTACGCTACTGACTCGTATTGACCACTTAAAGTGTCAATATTTCTACGATTGAGCCTTTTTTAGAATTAAAATAAGTAACGGCAAACTATCTAAACATTATTGGAATAGGCTAGGAAATATGGTGAAAATATTAAGTCCAAACGGTAAAGCTATAGCACACTATTAGAAAAATCAGACCTAACAATCCATAGAGAAGATGGAATAGTTTGTATGTTTCCTGACCTTTATGTTTCCTGACCTCGGCTTTGTGTTTCCTGACCTTTATGTTTCCTGACCTTTATGTTTCCTGACCTCGGCTTTATGTTTCCTGACCTTTATGTTTCCTGATCTTTATGTTTCTTGACCTTTGTGTTTCCTGACCTTTATGTTTCCTGAACTTGGCTTTATGTTTCCTGACCTGGCTTTATGTTTCCTGACCTTTATGTTTCCTGACCCTTATGTTTCCTGACCTTGGCTTTATGTTTCCTGACCTCGACTTTATGTTTCCTGACCCTGGCTTTATGTTTCCTGACCTCGACTTTATGTTTCCTGACCTCGGCTTTATGTTTCCTGACCTCGACTTTATGTTTCCTGACCTCGGCTTTATGTTTCCTGACCTCGACTTTATGTTTCCTGACCTCGACTTTATGTTTCCTGACCTCGGCTTTATGTTTCCTGACCTCGACTTTATGTTTCCTGACCTCGACTTTATGTTTCCTGACCTCGGGTTTGTTTCCTGACCTTTATGTTTCCAGAGCTTTATGTTTCCTGACCCTTATTTTTCCTGACCTTTATGTTTCCTGACATCGGCTTTTTGTTTCCTGACCTTTATGTTTCCTGATCTTTATGTTTCTTGACCTTTGTGTTACCTGACCTTTATGTTTCCTAACCTCTGCTTTATGTTTCCTGAACTTTATTTTCTTGAACTCACCTTGATATGGGATGGTGTGGTCACATTTACTTTCCCTAACCTGAGTCAGGTACCCATCAGAGTTCAGTAGACTCAGTGACATCCTGCAGTGTTTATCTAGGACCGAGATCCGAACTGTAAACTCTCGGACTAGCAGTCGAGCACTCAACTACCCCGACTAGCAGTCCCATTAAACAGAGATAAGAACATCTTTTACGCGCTGTTCTGACCTAAAAAGCAGTAAGTAAATATGGGTAGAAGTCTAGCATTTTCTGGAGGTGGGTAATTGAGTCGAACATGTCAAATTTCCCGCTTGTGAGCTATAAATAATCATAAAACACATCACCAGAGTCGATAAAGCTAATGTACATTATCAGCTAAACATTGTTTTAAACAGGCTTTAGAATTAGTATGTATGCCAATTCATCTCTTCCCCTTGGATCCACCATTCGGTTAAGTTTTGAGAAACGCGGTGTCCCAAGACCAGAGGCGTAGCGAGGGGGGGGGGGGCGGATAGTGCGGACCGCACCGGGTGACACCATTTAGGGGGGGGGGGGTGACACCAAGGCAAAAAAAATAGCAAAATATATAGAGAAAAACTTGAGGGGGGGTGCAAATCAAAAGTTTGAGGGGGTGGGGTGCAAATCGAAAATTTGAAAGTTTGTCCCCGGGAAGGGTCGCTATGCCTCTGGGGGGTGACACCATTAAGTGCCGCACCGGGTGACACCCGACCTCGCTACGCCACTGCCCAAGACCAATTTCCCCCCAGCCGTGATTTACCCTTTTTCAAGAATACCTAAGATCAGAGTTTCTTCCAGACATCTTTTCGTGGCGCCCTCCCCCAAGAACGTCTACCCCCCCCACCCCCCCCCCCCCCACCCCGGGAAATTTTAGTCCGCCCTGGAAGAAACTCTGCCTACTGTATTTTGTCCTATTAGTAATGAGAACGTATAGTCATTAGAATATGATTAGATCAAATTAGATTAAATTACACACCGAATCGGTTAATGTCCTACTTTAGTTTATGGGCACGGGTGGGGTGTGTGTTAGAAAAGCAGTGTTTCTTCCAGACTTTTTTCTCCGGGGGGGGGCACTTGAAATCTTCCGGGGGGGCGGTAAACTTTCTTCGGGGGGGCGGACACTGTTAAAAGTATATATTTTCTATATAAATTATATAAATTTCATTTCGTTCGGGGGGGCGGTAAAAAAATTTCGGGGGGGGGGGCTTCGCCCCCCCGAAGAGATGCCTGGAAGAAACTCTGTAGAAAAGGGGTTAGGTCCCGATCTCTGGATCTCAAACCACAAACCTTTCAGTTTTTTTAATCCCTCAGCCAAGATCAGTGTTGAATTTATTCTACTGACTAACAAAAAAGTTTTATTTTTAATTACTTTAAACAACGAAATTTTAAAAAGTGTCAACATGTAAACAGCAACAACACACAAAAATAATTATTTAGTCCAAGACTTGGATAAAGAGATTAGGATATAGATCTATAAGCATTAAAGTGACATAACTTAATAATTCTTTCAAGGATAAACAGTGAGGGTAGATGTTGTTAAGCTCTGTTAATTACAACAATGGAAACGTAATATTTATATTTAAATTTATTTTCTGTTATACCTCATAATTCCAAAATATCTTACTTCCCCCCCCCCCCCCCACCCCCCATTTATTGATGTGTGCGTCTTTTTTTTTTTCTTTGACGACCATTTAAATTACAAAATTTATTTAAGAATCGAGATCAATCTAGATCTAGATCTATATTTTTAATAATCACAAAACGGGTTTCGCTTTGTTGCGGTAATTAAAATTACCTTTCGCTTCTTACGTACACAAAACATTTTCGTATCGTTTTTTAAGGAAACAAAATAAGGATAGCCAACAGGCTGGTAAGAAATAGATCTAGAATATAACTTCAATAAAAGTAAAAGAAAACGTTAATTAACTTGTGTACAATATTGTTTTATTACTTACACCGCTTTAAAACATATAGATCTAGATCTAGCTAACTTGTTTAATTTTTTTTTAAAACTAGAATCTAGAATAGATCTAGATCTAAGTCTAGATCTAGATCTAGATCTAGATTCCAGATCTAGACTAGCTACGAGAGCTCAGAGTCACTGTTTTTGTATTGAACTGTATTCAAATATCTGTAACAGTGTAACAGAGTCACTAACAGAGTGTAACAGTACCTAACTAAACTTTAGTTTAGTAAAATAAAAGTAAAACTAACTAAAGTTAAGTAACTTCACCAGTAACTTTGTATTGTATAAAGTAGATTTAGAAAACTAGTCTAGATCGAGTAGTTAGACCTAGATCTAGAATCTTAGTAGACCCTTTTTTCTGTCGTCTCTGGACGGGTGCACCTCTCTAGGTCTAGACTAGATCACTCGATTAACTAAAGTACTAAAAGTAGGGATGATTTTACTAATTTTTTTTTAGATAATAGATACTGGATTAGACTGGATACTGATGTCCAATAATAGTATCATAATATAATAGAATAAATAGATTCTCCCAAAAAATAGGTGTGTCTGTGTTGGGTTGATAGTATATAACTTAAGTATAAGTATGCCCTATAGATATCTATTATCTAGTTAGTTAGTATTGTAGTCTCGACTAATTTTATGGTTAGAAATTACTATGAAATTAAATTTGGGTTAGGCTTATGGTAGGACCAGGGTTAGGGTTAGCATTGACATTACCAAGCCATGTGTGTATTTAAGTTAATTACCAGTAATGTTGCATCCTTTTTTTAAGAAGATTCTATTATTTGACACTGGTATAAAAATTCCCTCATATAGGCTGATTCTTGCCAGAATAAAACAATGCATTCGCAGTGAAAAAAATATTGCCTCCCTTCATGTTAGTGTTTTTTATGTAATGAGTAATGCAGGCCTATGTATATTTACCCTAATGACAAACCCAATCCTCCCTAACCCTAATGCCTAAAACCTAACCCTATTGCCTAACCCTAATGTCAAACTTCCCTTACACTAATGTCAAACTTCTAAAAAGTTCAACTAACTAGTAAAATAGGAAAAAAGTAAAATAAAAATTCTGTGCTAAAAAAAAAGGAATGGAACCCACGCCACAAAAACAATATATGCCTGATGCGCATCCACTTTGACCATCTGAACAAGCATGACATTGTCAGAAAGTTGAATGTCATATGCAAAGAATAGTTGTGGATATGTGTTTGCTCTGCCTAACCTAGGGTGGTACACAGTTTGGATAGTATATTCTACTATAATGGCTAAATATCGTAGGCCTATATATACTATCATAATAACAATTTAACATGCTTGCAACTTACACTGAATGATTTTCTTTAGGAAAATTATCGCGGAAAAAATGGCTGGATTCAACGAAGAGGAAGGTTTCTATCAGACAAATTTCTATGACAACCAGAATTACGGATTTGATCCCAATGCACAGGCACCATTTGGTCAAGAACCGTAAGTATCTATTTATGTTACCTTCTCTGTTAAATTGAGATAATTGTTTTTTTTATCTTCAGAAAGTGTTTATATTTTACATCTACATTTATCAGCTATTATTCATTTTAAATTATAATTTTTGTGCACTGCTTTAAATTATTGAGGACGGCATAGCGAGAGAGCATATGCGGGTTCAAATCAGTAGCATGTCCCTGTGTCCAACCATCTCTGAAAGGTACCTAACTCACATTAGGGAATATAAAAGTGCTGATCACACTATCCCTTCATATTCCGAGGTCCCAGAAACAGGTGAACTCTACTTTATTTGCCCCATGGACCGTCAGTTTTGAAAAAGAAACTTAATTCTTTTTCTTTATTAAAATATTGATCAAAGTAAGTTGGGTTTTCTTTTCAGACAATTTGGGCAGTTTGATTACAATCAGGGCTATACCAAAGGCTCTACGTTTGGCGGAGATGCTGGTTTTGGAGCGGATCAAAGCTCATACACTGGGTCTATCCTGACCCCCAACGCTATGGCTTACACAGATAAAACAGTAGGTGGAGACACTGAAGAAGATGAACCTCCACTGCTAGAAGGTGAGTTTGCTGCACTTCTTTCAAAGTTGTCATTTTTTGTGAATTATGAAAACGTATATTTAAAATATTTAAAATAAAATTTAAAATATTTCGTTTTTTTTCCTAGAATTAGGAGTTAACTTTGACCACATCGTACAAAAGGTAAGTTAATTTTATTTACCTGTGTTATTGAAAACTCACTTTTTTCTTTGAATACAATACTTTTGCTCTCACATCTTTTTCAAACATCTAATGATTGAACTTAAATTATGTATATATCCACAACACACGCCTTCTCTTTTGAATAATAAATAAACAAATTAAATTTATTAAATAAAATTTCATAAGCGTTATGTCATAAACTAATAACACTCTTACATGAAAAGTTATCTCAAGCATTTTAATACTGCTTACATACAAGTTTGCAACGAACAACAAATTTAGTATGTTAAAGGGAATTAACCTATACATTTGTTACTGTATTTTTTTATCATGGCTATTTCCCCTGTGAGTAAAAAATATTTGTTAATTGTAATTGAACTAATTTTTTTACATGCGCGGTACATAGTACACTCATACCGTTTACATTGCAGAACAAATTAGAACTAATTTTAAGAGAAATTTTGTAATCTATTATAAATTATAACCATATCAAGTATCTTTTGAGTGGGCTTTATATTAATTTTTCTTCACTAATATTTTTACTGTTCAAAAACCTTTGTCAAGTATTTAACATAACCTAATCTATAGAATATATTGATGAATTTTTAAACTTCTCAAGTTTAATGTCACTGGTTTTTAAAAAAAAATAATTATTTAATTAGATTCATTCATTTAACAAATTTTTTCTCTGTTCTGCTTTAATGGTATTTTTTTAATTTAATATACATCTTGCACAAAAGGGTGAATTTATGTTATAGCAGAAGTTATAAGTCGTTAATAAGACAGTGTGACACATTTGTTAATCCGTCAATCAGGGGGGATGATCTTGCACAACTTTGCCTTCGGCGTGAAGGTTCTTGCTATGTTACGTTTTTTTAATGCGTGAGTGGTTTCCCCTACCTTGAGTGGTTTCCCTTACCTTCGTAGGAAATAAAAAAAAAACTTTCAGCCTTCCTTTGATGAAACCTCTCGTGCCGAAATAACATTGAGTAGCGCTGAGGAACGGATGTGGTTAATGTCATTTGTGACATTCAATGAAATAACAGCCAATGACCTTCTGGCTAGAGTTAGTTAACTTGGTCAGAGTTACCGTTCTTTGCTTTTCTATGCTCACTAAAAATATACTTTCATGATTTATTTTCTTCGTGATTAATTTATGTAAAAAAATAAAAATTGAGTCGGCGATAAACAGTAAAATAAAAGTTGAGCTTAATTTGAAACTATTCACTGGAATTGAATTATGAGAATGTCTGTGGGGGGAAAAAATAATTAATTAGTCCATGTTATTTGTTGATCATAAAAGTCTTTTACTGTAATTACTGTTTAGTCTTTCCTGTGTTCAGCCTTGTTTGCTACGTTCTCTCGTGATACCCATTTGCAGTTCTTATAAAAACATCAACAGGACACTACAGCTGATGTGGCTGTGGGGGTTAAGGCTAACGTTAGGGTCAGGGCTAGGGTTAGGGACGGGGTAAGGTTATTCATGTAAACATAATAAACTTGTCTGAATCACTCATATCTACCCAAACCCTTCCCATACTCGCCATCTGAGAGGAGAAAGCTGGAGTGCAACGAATATTTTGTGCGTGGTGTTCTAAAAGTCCTATACACAGGCACATTATGTTTCTACAAAATGACCGCGCGGCTTAGAGGCAACATGCCCTTACACGTGCCTTCTTAGCTACTTAAATAATGAGACTTACGACTAGTGCTTTGTTGGCATCAATACTTTCAATTAATTTAACATTTTATTATGGTTATTGCGTTTAAATTCAGCTTGCGAGCAAATGTTTTTCGATAGAGAAGAAATAAAGTGGAAGTGAGTTTCTCTATACTGTGTGTAACACAGCAGTAGATGTAAGGGTTGGGGTGACACTATTCCCGCCGAATAGAATCGTGATGTAGAAATTGTAGGTACGTTTGTGGCAAAACAGCTCTTTTTTTTAACACTTAGAGGTGAAATGTTTTTCGAATATGAGACTACGAGAATAAATTAATAAAAACCAAAGGTTTTTGAGAAACCGGAAATAGAGTACCACGTCCGGTTACCGGAAATCGATCAAAAGATCAAATAAATCTATTTCTATGAAATTTCGTCAAGATGATTGAAGTTATTATGTCAACACACACACACAGATACCAACATACAGACACTATATCAAAACTGGGTTCACCGACTCAAAAAGGTGTAAAACGTCAAGATGTCTACATTTTTGTTTCGATTTTGCCTACGATTACAATACTGCCCCACTCTATTCCGTATTCGGATTCGGGAAAAAATAAAAAATAAAAATAGCCTGTCAATACCGCTGGATGAACCCAAGGCATGGACGACATGTTAACTCCAGCCTCTTCATTAACCTACAGCATGCACGTCCATCTTAGCTCACCCACCTCGCTCATCAAATGCTCATCCCCCCCCCCCCCCCCACATTACTTTCTCTGCCGGCCTGATTCCACCAATCCTCTTCCCTTCATCCTCCTCCTCATCCATCACCATCCTCCCTCCCACTCACCCCCCCCCCACCCTGCACATTAGACTACCCACCTGACGTGACCGACTCAGGTTTCTCCATGTCGTTTGTAACCTGTCGCTCACCTGCTCATGGCGTCACAGGCTGGTCGCCATGACACCCAGCAGCTTCTCTCACTGCTGGGTGGGCGGCTTCCAGTCGAGCGTTGTCATGGTAACCTAAACTTAGCGCTTTTAATACGAGAAAATATGTTTTTTTTTTTTTAAATTTTCCGTTTTCAACGCGAGCGATTCCAGATTAATGTATATTGGACATAATGATATATTTGCGAGTTAACTCTCTTTCTACCTCCAAAAACTAAAACCAACATAACACATAAATTCTAAACCATAATATCGTATGTTATGCTTGCGTTTTAGCTCATGTATATTGTCTGCATTAGTGACGTCTATTGTGGAAACCAGTTAATCATTATTTAGATGTCTATGTTTGCTTTCGTTTGTTTATTCTTTTCACGTCCTTCGTGTTTTGTAAAAAAAATGGTTTTCAATCTAGTAATATGTTTCATTGCCCTTTCGAGAAAAAAATATTTTCTGTTCTAATGATATTTGTGATTGCCTTTTTCCAAAAAAAAAAAGATAAAAGTTTATACGCAAGGCGGCGAGCAAAATTTGTTATTTAAATAAAAAAATCCTTGTAGAAAAAATGTGTGTATAATGTGTACATTCTTCTGTGGCCGTCCTATGCACTATGTTGAATGTCGCCAACGGGGCCGCTATGGCGTCCGTAAAGCTATGTTCAATTTAGGTAATAGACGCTGAGCTTAAACTTAGCGATTTTCTCATGGCGATGCACTTCCGGTATATATCCTTTTTTTTACGACATACGGCCATTTTTTTTTTCAAGCCTCGAGGCATCCTTGTCTCCAATGGCGTGGCTAATGTAAGGACTAATTAAATTCTTTTTTTTTTTTACATTAAATATACCCGAGGGAAGGAGAAACAGGTTTTATTTTTATTTATCTGTTTTTGTGTTAGAATATTCTATCTGATTCTGCGTAATATCTAGATCTGTATATATACATTGTTGTAAGGATAAGAATTAGAAGAAATATTCCAAGATTAAATCCCCTCGGTAAATAATTATTTTCTATAAAAAAATGCTAATTGGCTTACTTAGATTAAAATGATGCATTTAATTTTGAGCCCATAAAAATGGAATTAAAAATGGTTTCAGGTTACTCATTAAACATAATGAAGAAAACATCAGCTAGATTAGTTTTTGTTTGATCGCGTTTATGTAAAAAAAAAATATGTTTGTTTAGAAGTCAAATTAAATTCAACATCGTAATAGTTAGGGTGCCCCAGGCGTTGCTATGGTGATGGTGACTAAGATTGTTGTGGTGCCAAATATTATGGGCACAGAACCAGGCATTGCTAACGTGATAGTTGTGGTATCATATTGTTAGTAAGGGTCCAGACGTTGCTATGGTGATATTTGTGGTACCATATTTTGGGTATAGGCGTTGCTATGGTGATAGTTGTGGTACCATATTGTGGGTACATACGTTGCTATGGTGATAGTTGTGGTCCCATATTGTGGGTAGAGGCGTTGCTATGGTGATAGTTGTGGTACCATATTGTGAGTACAGACGTTGCTATGGTGATAGTTGTGGTACCATATTGTGGGTAGAGGCGTTGCTATGGTGATAGTTGTGGTACCATATTGTGAGTACAGACGTTGCTATGGTGATAGTTATGGCACCATATTGTGGGTACAGACCCAGGCGTTGCTATGGTGATACCAACAGTTATGGTGCCCTATTGTCTAAGCACGCACGTAGCCCCCTCCCACACCTTTAAACATCAAACAAACATCTCCGTACTTTACTTAAGCTATAAAAACACAGCTTTAAAAAAGCTAAAAACACATTATGAAACAATGGATCTAAGCCTCGGTGCTGACAGTACCGTTTTCTTTCAAATATCACATTGTTGTTTATACTTGTTCGTTTTTGATGAGTTTACTGTTTAGTTTTTTTTAAATATCGAACTAAAGCAACAGCTAAACAAAGATAGACCCCCCCCCCACCCACCTTGTATACTTGAGTTTCTACTCTTTACAATATAAGGATTTGGCACCTTTTCACTTGAAGAAATAGCTGTCAGTCCAGGTCTTTATCAGGGCGAATACCGACGCGCTTCGGCTACTGTGCTTGCATTACCATGAACAAAGATTCGCCGACGTTTGAATAACTGAACACACACACAGATACACGCATACACACACAAGGAATATCGATCTCCTCATTGGAAAAAATCGATGCACTTTCCACTCTGTTTATCGATTCTCTCTAATTACACCAAAAAAAAAAAAGAAAAAGAAAAAAAAAGCCCACTTTGGAATCGGATAATTTTAGAGCTAATGAAAAGAAGCGTCTGGTGATTTATGTAGCGGAGAAACCTATTTCAATAACGATATCTGGTTTGTTTCTGCATACAAATATTGTTATCAATCTCCTTAATATTTCGTAAAAAATATTAATTGG